ACTATAATTGTCAAATTTTTGTTTTTTTTTTTCCCCAATGATATTATTTAGGTTTTGTTTTTGCTGAAGTTTGTTTATGTGCTGTAAAAGAAGTTTGTTCCACAGTTTAAAGTAGTCATGATGTCCACTGTCAAGGTCCAGTGCATGTTTTGAAGAACTACATTGGGCCTACATTTACCCAGCTGATTGTGAAGCGATAACGAGCTAGTACAGTAAATAGTTGCTGGTGCAGTCATCACATGTTTTGCTCACTAGCACTTTAGTTAAAATTTTCAAGGATTAAGGCAGATAGGGAGAAGCAGAACATTGGAATCTTACGTGTAAGAGAGTTGAGAAAAGAATATAATTTTTGATCCAGTTGCCTGGATTTTGGGAAGCTACTGCTATTGAAGAAATCCGTCCATCAAGATCTAGCAGCCTCCTGTTGTGCGGACTTCATTTTTAATTATATAAATTTCATTCCAGTGTCATTTTTTAATGTTAAGGTGGCACCTGGCGTCCAGTGAGCGTGATGTCAACAAGAGAGTTCTCATGGACAGAAATCCAGGAAGTAAAATGTTCCAATTATCTTTCACAACTGGTAAAATGATTAAAAGTTAAATAAATGAGATGTAGGATTAAGGTAGAAGTGGAAATATCTAACTTCAGAATGTAATTGTTTTAGCCATTTTATTTAAATTAAAGAAATTTGACATTGAGCAAAATTTAATGTGAGTTTATTGAGTCAGAAGTCCACCCTTTGCACAATCCTATGGGATACTTGTCACTCAGAATGTGATAGTACTTGTGGTTAGTGAAACAATTGTGCTAAATGCAGTGGAAATTGATACCAACCAAGGTCAATGTTCTAGCGAGAAATAGATTTGAATTGTTCAAGCTGACATGCAGTATTTATTTTGTGAAGCTTACCTAGTCAGTTTGATGCTTTGTATGAAACCTAAATCTTGCTTTTTTTTTGTTGTCTTTGATCAAGTCTTGGTGAAAATGAATTGATTTGATTTAAAATATTTCAATTGTCTCAACTTCTCTTAACACTTGTACTTGGTGGCCCTTCTGCGAAACTTCTGTTACCCTCCCTCCAGTGGAATTTTTTGTTTACTGAAATTAATGCACAGTAGAATTATTTTCCTGTAAGAGACACTATAAAGTTGTTGTCCACAATATATATTAGAATAAAAACAGTTCATACTTGAAAAGGCATTTTCCCAAGTGCTTAAAGTCTTGTTGCAGTTGTTTCCTGATCGAAGAGATTTTCTTTCTGGGAGAGTCTAACAGTATTAAGCACTATTGAATGCTCGAGAATATGTTGGCTATTGTATGCATTAAGGAGCAAAATTTGCTTTTTGGAAAAGTGAGGAGTAGGAAAAGAAACTTCTAATCTGAGAAAGTTAGTAATATCCTTCCTTTGAAAACTATGCACAGAAATCCCGATGGGACCAATTTGACCTTCAGGAGCATTAAAGACTGTTTTGCCAATAAGACCCAATATTTTATTTACTGTTTTCCACTGTAGCCAAACATCAGTCTCCCAAGCTGCACTTCTGGCATGACGCACCTGATCTCTCTCATAGTGAAATCGATTCCTTGCGGTGTTTATAGATTCCAACATAGTCAAAACAAAAGTATTCCCAGCAAATGAAGCTAGTTATGCGATTATATTGTTTTATTGTTCATGGGATGTGGATAACGTTGGCATTGCCAAGCTCAGCAGGTCTGGCAGCATCTCTGGAGAGAAAGCAGAGTTAACATTTCAAGTCCAGTGACCCTTCTTCAAACTGATTGTAGCTAGGAAAAGGTCGGTTTATATGCTGAAGCTGGGATGCAAGGAGAAGTAAACAATGGGTGCAGGTGGAGCTCACAGAGAGAGAGAGAGAGAGAGGGATACAGCATAAAAGAATGGGTAAAGGTCAGTCTGGAAGAAGTAGTAGCTGACAGTGGGTTGGTTGTGGTAGCAGCCCATGTCAGGACAAGGTGTAGTGCACAGGGACTGGGGTAAGGACATGGGAGAAGGTGCCCAGGCCCTAACTATTTGAACTCTATTGAGTCCTGATGGCTGCAGGGTCCCCAGCCAGAAAATAAGATGCCGCTCTTGAAACTTGTGCTGAACTTTGCTGGAGTGCTGTAGAGCTGTAGAAAACTCGAGATGTTGGCCAGGGAACACTATTGTTTTGAAGTGGCAGGCAAAGGGAAGTTCAGAGTCATTTTTGTGGACTGAAGGTAGGTGTTCAGCAAAGTGGTTACTCCGTCTACATTTAGACTGGTCTCCTCAATGCAGAGCAGGCCACATTGTGAGCAGTGAATACAGAAAACTAGATTGAGTTAAGTGCAGGTAGATTGCTGCTTCACCTGGAAGATGTGTTCTGGCTACCAAAATCCATTACCTATACATCCTCACACCCTGCTTCCTGTAAAGAGCCTATTCCATTCTCCCATTTTCTCTGTCTCCATTGCATCTGTTCCAATGATGCCAGATACTACAATGATGCCTTCCAAAATGTCCACCTCCTTCCTCCACCAAAGATTTCCCAACGCTGTAATGGACAGGTACCTCAGCCATGTCTGACCCATCTCCCATACTGCAGGGAGAAGGGAGGAAGTAAATCAACAGGTATTACACCTTCTGCAATTGCATTGGAAGGCACCATAGGGTAATTGGGTGTGGAGGAGGAAGGAATGGTCCTTGTCAGCCTCCTGCAAAGGAGGGGAGGGGAACATGTCTAGTGATGGCATCTCCTGGTAGCTAATGATCCTTTAGATGTAGGTTGGTAAGTGGGGGCCAGGGGACTCTGTTGTGTTGCCGGACGGAAGAGAAAAGGTGAGGGCTGAAGTATGAAAGATGGGTTGGACACGACTGAGGTCCCTGTCAGTTACAGTGATGGAGAATCCTTAGTTGAGGAAGAAGGTGGACGTTTTGGAAGGCCCATTGTAGAAGCTGGCATCATCAGAACAGAGATGATGGAGACAGACAAACTGGGCGAATGGACTAGACTCTTTGCAGGAAGCAGATTGTGAGCATGTATAGGTAATGGATATTGGTGGCCAGTCTATCCCCAGAAATGGAAACAGATGTTGAGGAAGGAAAGGGAGGAGTCAGATGGACCATGTGAAAGTGAAAGCAGGGCGGAGGAAGTGATTTTGATAAACTTTTCCAATTCCAGATGAGAGGGACAAGCAGAAAGAGCTCCAAGATCTTGACCAAACAGCAGGAAAAGAATGGTGATTATAATTCCAGGTCAGAATGGTACATGGCTTGGTGGGGAATGTGCAAGTGGTGGTGTTCCCATGTATGTGCTGCACTTTTCCTTCTAGAAGGACAAGGTCATTGGTTTGGAAGATGTTGTCAAAGGAGTCTTGTCAAGTTGCTGCAGTATGGTTGGAAGCAGAACAGTATTCTGGATGATTTTCCATTTTGTCAGCAGTTCGCCAGTGTTGTAGTTGTACAGGAGCATGCACATTGGCTAAGGTAGAGTAATTTTGGGACACAAGTTTTCATTACTGAAGCTGGGATGCTGTTGGGTACTATGGTCTTTTCATGTATTCAGATTGATACACCTTTCCCC